ATTAATTGCTCCAAATAGCTCTTAAGTCCAAATAAATATAGAAATTATAATAAAGAAAACTTGCACTGTATGCAGAAAAAAACTAAACTCTTAAAATGATGTCTATTTGGATACTTGCGATCGACGAAATTGCCGTGATGTTGGGAGAATCACTAAGTAATTGAGAGAGTTGAAACGTTCAGAGTTAAAAATTTGCGACCCTCTAGAAGCCTTGCTGAGGGACCACCAGTTTAACCGATCACCATTGTCTCTGTTCCCTCAAGTAGGGAATTAGCGCAGATACAAGGCCTACCCGTATATGCCCTTCAACCTTATCCAAGCGGAGAGCCTAAAATGACTGAGGCCAAGTTAGTTTACGCTTTCCATGTTCTCCGTAAGATGATGTGTGTACTCAAAGATACATTAGTCCTCTTTCATTTAATCTTGTTCGTTATAAAGGAATTCAAAAGATATTTTTTTAAGTTTCTATTAAGTCGAATATATATTTTTTTATTAACTCATCTAGAGCCTTGTTATCTTGATCGACCAGTCAAAGACAAACCCCACCTTTACCTTTGCAACTTGGCTCTGGTATCCCTTCGCTCTCCGCTTGCTCCTCAGATTTACCTGTTGTGTGATAACAAACGGTTATTCATTAGAACTAAGTAAAGTCGCTCAAAGCGACGAATAGAATGCAAGTGACCGTCATGACCACTCAGAAGGTCAACACAATTATAGTAAAATTAAAAAGGTGGGTTATATAAAAGAACCTGGCTAATGGCGTGCAAGTAAGCCAGGTACAATGCCTCGTTGGCTTTTAACTTCTTACAAAGAAAAACGAAAACAAACAAAAAACAAGAACTTGCACTGTATGTGGTATTAAAGAAGGGTGCTATATAATGCACCGTTCCGAAAGAACTCATTGCTTTTACCTTCATCAGTTGGCTCTTCAGTCTCAGGATTTTTTTCTTCTTCTTGACCTACAAAAATACATCATAAACAAAAGGTACCCATAGAATGATGTTACTATTTTTTTTGTTCGTTGGTTTCATTTTGGGTAGATCATCATTATTCAAAACAATGACAACATCAAAATTTAAAGGATTAAGGAGAAAAATGACCCATTAGATGCACCCCAAATAGCGGTATGTATAAACCTCCATGAATAAGAAATAAATATATCTTATTAGACATTTTGTTGTGTAGTATCACTGAGTATTTTTACGAGTTGTACTGTATTTCGACGAGCCCGTAGACGGTCANTAGTATGTTGAATGTAAAGAATTGTACCTTGTGTACAATGAAGGCTGACAAAATGTACTTCATGGATGTGTCCCAAGGCAAGTGTCCTGCTTTTGTCAACAGGACATTGTGGCCTTAAGATAACGTCGTGAGCAGCGGAAAGACTGCTGACCACATGAATGCAAGTTTTGTAGCAGTTTGCTGCGGCACATAGAACAACATGGTCACCCCAAGCGCCATCTTGCTCCATGTACGTTAAGTAATCAGCCCACGATTGATGTCCATGGACGAAGTGAAACATATTTGTTTCACCCGGCTGCGAGAAGAGTAAAATAGAGAACGAAACTTAAAGTGTAAAGGGCATGGTTCACTGGACGAAGTTGAGTACGTTGAAAGGAGTCATTGGATTAGAAAATAACAAAAGGATACTAAACAGTAGTAGGAACGGACAATAACCAATCAGAGTTATGAACTCAATGTTCTACACTGGATGTAGCAGTCTATTTCCCCTTTTGAAACATCAAATGTCTAGTGTCCAGTTTAAGTCAAGGCTATCCAATTGTGACTGTCCCATCTGGGGGAGATTGAAACGCAAAGTACTTTTAAGAAACCTCTGGTTGGCTGCCTTCTCCACAGGAAAAAGCCCTTTTGACACGGAGGTCTACATTCTACATTCATCCGTGACCCGGACATGGTTTCTATTAAAAAACTTCAACTACAAAGCGTGTTTTATGGGTCATCCGACAGATTAAACAATTATTCCCCAGAATAAAGGTTACTAGAGCTGGGTATTTATCGAGGCGAGGAGGCAAGGTAATTATGCATCACTTTCACAGACGCTGAGGTAGAAAATTATTTACGTATATACCAGAAGGAGGTGAATGGCATTTATTAATCACTTACCATACCCAATGAGCGCGCGATGTGGTTTATACTAAAAGCTGATGTCAGAGTATTTATGATCCTTATTAACCCCTACAGGAGGAGTAGTGATGTGTTGGCCAGTTGGCCCACATGGAGATCTAACCTTCATGGTGCTTCTAAAGTAATAGTAGTTACATAGAGTGTAAGACATCGACTTACTAGTTGAGGGTTTTTTCTGAGGTACTGGACCAATATTTGTCTTAATTCGTCGTGTTTGATTTTGATTCCCATAGTAATTTCCAGTTGATCTGACAAAGCAAAGAACATGCAGTTTCCTGATCCTTCATTGTCAACAATTCTGAAGCCTTTGTCTAAAGCAATTTTCTTCAACTCAAGTGTTAGGTCGGTCTTGTCATTGACTTTGCTTGCATCGAGTTGCATCTGTTGAAGCTGAGCAATTAACTGAACAGAACCTAAGTGTACAAACGGAGGAATGGACAGAGGATAAGTACCACCATGCCCGTGATTAAAGGAGGACCAAAGAATAAAAAATATCTACAATGTAAATGTTTTTTTTAGGTTTCTGCAAGTTCTTAATAATAACTTTCTTTGATATATGGAGGAGCGTTATAGAAAAGGAAGTAGAAAAGAATTCTTAACGCCTCGGTTTTCAAATTTAATTCGATCTCCAAAAAATTCCTAGGTGATTAAAAAGATCTACACTTCGCCCTCCAAAAGCCAAATATTTTAGTCCAATATTTTTTTTTAGTTCATAGTTAGAATAACGGGTTACTTTTGATTTAGTTAGATGAAGCTTGGATAAATACAATTAGATTGTGTGTACAAAACAATAAAAAAATGCGCAAATTGCTGTCAAAACTTATGTTGTTTTTCAAGAATTAGTACTTTTATCGGTTGAAGTGTTTTCAATTCGTGGCGCTATGCTCCGAGATTCGTCTGTAGTTTTTAGCTTCTGAAGCGGCATTTTGGCGGAATTCAGTTACTATCGATTTTCTCGAAAAGAAATCAATATTTAGCCAAACGAAACATGTACTGGTTGGTTTCATTGTAGAGCCCACCTAGCTTGAGAATATGGGCCGAATCAATTTTTTGGCTGCTGCCACGATATTTCGAAAATTTTTCATTTTTGGCCAGATTTGCTCTTGAGCGTTAGTTTATTGTTTTGTAGAGTGATTTATTTCCCCCTTAAACAGACAAACCAAAAACCCGGACGCCAAAATCATCGTCATAATCTGTTTCAAAGAACTAATAGATTAAACCATGTCATGATGCTTACGGTTGGTGTTTTCTTTTGTAAAAAACTCCTCTCAAATGCAGTTTTTACATAAGTTAATATTCGTGTACATTCAATTACTCATTAATTCATGAAATAAGATTCTAAGGCCTAGTTTATACGTCGCGCTACAGTCGACTTTCATTCAGACGAATTTAATTCATGGTCCCACAAGTAATTAAATTCGACGATAGCGCGACGTCTAAAACGAATTAAATTCGTCTGGTAAATTAAATTCGTTTTAGACGTTTTATCCGTCTTGGTAAAACGGATAAAATATCAATAAGGCGTCTTCAGCTTTAACGTCGCACCAGGTCGCGTCGAATGAAATGCATACATTTTCTTAATTTATTTTGGCGATCCCGCAGAGACTCGTGGTGAGCTTTTCGAGTGACACCTCTGACCAGGACACTGCATTTAGGAAGAGAATTAAATTCGACCGTATTGATTCCGACGCATACAACCACGCCACGATTTATGTCGATGGAACGACGAATTTAATGGAATTGAATTCGTCTGAATTAAATTCGACTGTAACGCGACGTATAAACTAGGCCTAAGTTATCCAGTAAAGGCATTTTAAAAATATAAGTATAAAAAAGAAAAGAACAGATTTCATTTTCGGTCAAGCTTACTGTTGTTTTATTGTAAGCAAAGGACTCGCGTAACTTGTACCAAAGTTTAATAAAACACGATCGATCACTTAGTTGAGTTATTCATTAAAAAAAGTAAAGAAAATTTAAAAGATAATAATAATAAGGATAATACTGTTGCCAAGGAAATTTGATATCACTCGCTCCTCTCTTTTATTCATTCCCATTACATCATTTCTTCCAAAGTATTGGCGATTCTTAGAAATAGTTGTAGAAAGCAGTTGAAGTGAGATGAATGGAATACTAATCTTGTGCGAATGAAGCCCTTATCTATGACTTGCTTTCATATTTCCTTGATAAACCAACTTTGAAATTAAAAAAAAAAGAGCAAATAATAGGCAAGGAATTTTATTTCAATTAATAGGACTTTGTACCTGAAGGAGATATGGCGTCATCCCCTCCACATGCTTGTTCCACTGCTATCGATGGAGTAAATGGTTATTTTTTTTAAGTAGAGTTATTTATCAAGTAACAAATTAGAAAACTTGATACGCTGAATGGTTATTGTCAATACACATTACCAGATCTCTGTCATACGGACGACGCAGGTATAGTTTTTAGACAATACGACGTAAATGTTACTTATATAAACGGATGATCATGATATTCTCACAAGCGAGGTTCAGAAAGTGCATTAAGAAAATTGTCATCAGGATTTTTCCAGGTGATTTAGTTTCTTTATGGATTCCTCTTGCAGTCATCAAACAAAATTGATAACACCAAATTTCTTCCCACTCATGTCATATGGGGAGACCATTGCTTAATCTTTACTTATTATATAGTGCACGAACTTATGTGTCAGAGCATGGTAAGGAATGCTATGATTTCATTCTAGATATCTCAGTATTTTCAGGAGCTACCGTTTGGTAGACTAATCAATTCTGATTAAAATGATTGAATTCAGAGGTTTCCATTTCATTGCCCACTTTACTAATTCTGAAATGACGTATCAATAAAAATAAGTAAACCGATAAAGCACAGACCTGGTTGCGGAGCAGGCAACTCAGGGGCTTCCGCTTCTTGGATTTCTTTCTGTTTTGTTTCTTGCATTTCAATTTGTTCTCCTATGGGGAAGAAATTGCAAATCAAATGGGACTACGAAAGGGGCAGAATGAAAGGAGAGACAGGTACTACACGCAGAGCCCCTACCGAAGAGGGGAGAAGACTTTTTATATATAATTACACTGAGAATACCCATATTTTACCGTTGTTAGCATGTCACCTTGAAATGCGATCTGTCCCTGCTGATCATTTTCTGCTTCTTCTGTTCAATAGAACATCAGCAATAAATCTGTACTGCTCTTCTCCAACCGGAGAATAAACTTATGTCAACGAAA